AAACATTTACGTACTCTCTTAAAAACAAATTATTTGAAAATTAGTGAGAATTTACAATTACAAAAATTTATGAATATTTTTTTTCACAAGAATCAAAAAAAAAAAATTATCAAGATATTCAAAACTAATCGTATGTAAATTTACAATCACATAGGTTGAGAAAAAAAATCAATTACATATCATTACATTTTAATATTGAAAAAGATTGTTCAGTTTAATCAAAAATCGATTAAAATTTTTGTATTTTAGTTAGTTTTTTAAAAAAGAAAGAAAACTACTCTTTAATTTCAAGTCAAACAATATTTAATATTTTTTTATGGAAACAAAGAAATAAATACGAAATTATTTTTCGGAAAATTTTGCAACATGCATATTTTAACATATACATGTTTAGATATTAATGCCTTTGATTGGTAGCATATTGTATCATATTTGTATCATAAGATTGTTCTCCAAGTTGCAATCTCCTAAATACATACATACCAAAATAAACCCCTTACAAATCTTTAATGACTAAATTTTGTATTTATTTTTCCAAAAAAATCAATTAGTAGTCCTCGATAATGCTTTTTAAAAAATGAAGTTCAAAGATTCTATGTATTTGCCGTTTTTAAATTGAAAATTATAAATAAAAAGTTAATCCACATATAACGCGGAGAGTCAACTACTTATAAGTTATAGAAAACAACAAATTTATTCGATTTTCAAATCAATAGGATTCAAGCAGAGAAATAGATGAGAAAACAAGTAAAACTTGTAAGCAATATTTAAAAATTTTCAAAAAATGTCACTTTTCAAATGTTATTTTTCAAAAATACCACATTTTCAAAATCTATGCAAAAATGTCACTTTTTCAAAAAAAAAATTCATTATATCATTTATGTTTGGGTTAACTATGTTGTATTAGGGTTTAGTTTTGAGGGTTTATGGGGTTTTAGGGGTCAAAAAACATTTTTTAGGGTTTATAATTTTAAGATTTAGGCTTTAAAAATCTATAATTATTGGTATTTTTGCAAATGAACACCCCTAAGTGACATTCTTGCAAATGTACACACCAAAAATGACATTTTTGTGATTGTTTAAAAGGATAAATAGATGAGAAGCAAGTAAGCAGTACATAAAGACATGTTAAGATAATATTGTAATCGTGGATTTAGATGATTTCCAACATAACACCTTAATTGTTCTCTGGAATTAAGTATTCGATAGAAGTACAACGATTTAAATTCCTATAGGAGATCCAATGGTAAAAATTTCTGAGATCTAGAGAATCAAAAGAGATCTACAAAAAAAAAAAGAGATTAAGAAATCGAGTTAGATCTTACATCCACAATTAGCAATAGAAGGATCGTGAAGCTTGCATGCTGCATGAAGTGTAGAAGCCTTGGTGATTTTCAAAGTAACTCCAAGAGAAGCCCTGCTTTTAAACGCTTCATAGAGACATTTAAACTTAACTCTTAAGCCGGAGTAATACGAACCTTCCGGTGTGTTTGCCGTGCTGAATATGAGAATCGAACAGTCAACAGACAGAGCCGGATGAGAAGAAAAGGAGTCGCGAACCGATTTGCAGACTTAACAGAGACATGTTGAATATAGATGGAGCTGAACATGAAACATTAAGGTATTGTAAAATTTAAAATCGACAATAGAAACAAAATTTTGTAGGTGGAGAATGGAAATTGAAAAGCAATTTGTAACAATTCATAGTAAACCCTAGTTAGAGCTATGAAACGACAAACTGGATCATGATCAACCCTAATTTCCTAGAGTAAAATGAAGAATCGAAATAGATGAAACTTAATTCCGTAAAGAAAAATTGCAGGAAAACTGAATTAAAAAAAGAAGAGATGTCGAGGCTTTTGGTAGGAGATGATATAATATCATTGTTGAAGAAGATATGGAAAGTGGAAATTTAGAGATCGTGGGGAGAAGCAGTTGCACAAGAAGTTGAATGAACTTGATTTTTTTTTCCGGCAAAACAATTATATTATATCATAAGAAAATTACAAAATACGGAAACATTTTCTCGATACAACCTTGAACGCAAATAAAGGAAATTGAAAAACAATTTCGATGAAAGAGTAGAGATTAACCAAGTTTTCCGTTGGGAAGTCTTATAAGCTTACATATAAAATCTGTTATGTTCTCCTTTCATACACTTGTTTTGAATATAAAAAATAATTGAATTGTTGTTGAAGATGTTTCTGAATTCTGTCTTTTGAAGCTTATTATAACATGATGAATTCGCCGATCACAACATTGCCGGTTAAGAACTACGGTTTCCTCTTTCATCGATCCTTCCAAAGCATATATCTCCACAAATTCTTCTAAAATTGTAACTCTCATGCTTGACATCTGGTTGCACATCGCCATCCAAGCACTCCACAGTTGACTTAAACACCATAAATGACGATGATACAAAGACACAATTGTTCTTGGATTGAACCGAGATGGAAAGGCCTTGAGTAGATACTATGAGTTGCCCAACTAGAAAATAAACCCAGAATTGCTCTTCAAATCTCCGTGGAAGGAAACAGAAGATGCAAAAACCAAGCATTATATCTCGTAAGTAACACCGAGAGATATCGCTCAAAGTGATGATGCCATTCATACATAAGAGTAATTTAACAATGAAAGTGTTTGTAGAGAAGAGATTCCACCACGGTTTGGGGAATCGGGTTTGAAACTTTGATTGAAAGTGGGAACCGCCATGAGTCTTCCTCAACGGAAGGACAGATCTGTCGAAATTTTTGCCAACGTCGGAACGAAACTCTTCTGGAGAATTTCAAGATCAACCCTAAAATTCACCATCAAGAGAAAATATTATTTAAACATAATATGATAAATGATAATAGTAGAACAACGAAGAGAAGTACGACCGATGTCAGAGCCACTTCCGATCATGTCTCCGATATGTAAATTCCCAGTAGGAGGTGTGAACGCAAGTGAGGCAAAATATAGTGCAGAAAATAAAAGACACAAGAGAATTTTTTATGAGGTTCATTTCCTACTCCCCGGGACCACGTCCAGAAATCAAATCCACTAGAACCAGAAAGCAAATACAACTTATTCGCAAACGCGTTAATCAAGTACAACTTCTTAATTTACCGCTCTYTTCAATAACATYGATTCTTCAGGATAACCTAATCCTGAGCTAAACTRCCCRTGAGCCTAGACTTGAGTTTTGTGGAATCTCCACACACCAACACGCACGGTTGGCAACGGCACGCAGCCAACGGCACACAGCCACGAAAAACCTTCTCACCAACTCACTTGATCAGTTCAAGCAATACGAACTGGT